AACGACATGTTGAACTAGTATCAATGGTAGAGGCGTTTCGTTATGCGCCACATCCAACAGTTCACATAATTAATTATCCAAAGATTAAGGTATGAAACCCTTGGTCATACATAGCAACATTTCGTTCCTAAAAATTAAGGTACTTCCACATTCAAACTAAATAATACTACAAATTCGAAGGAACTACTTAATACATTAACAGCACATAGGGAAGTAGCCCTGGTCCAACGGCTTGAGAAATGACGAACAAAAACTGAAAGAAGAAGGATCAGCCAGTAGCAGCACCATCAACCTCCCAGCCTCACAACTTCAGCCAGCCTGGTGAACTCCAGGTTTTTTCCTGCAAAACACACATGTGATGTTGGAGGCAAGAAAATAAATATGCCAGGGGTCTTGTCATGGCATCTAATCGCACGGAATGCTAGTACAAATGATGGAGAACAAAACATCCAACATGAGCAAATTCATAGGAGTTCTAGATCCATGGATAGCATCAAGAAAAAATGCTCAGTTTTAATTCAAACACAAGACTTGGTGAAAACATGCATATTCATATTAGCAACATGGATATGGCATCTTTGCAAGCTTGGATCAGTGACTTGTCTTGTGTTTCATGGCATGACAATAATTTTAACAATAAATAGACATGAAATTGACCCAAACTCATGTACAAAGTTAGGCCATATGATGCATGGATTAATTCACACATAAATGACAAAATGCCAACTTTGTATAGAATTTGCAGTACTGAAATATTTCAGTGTGTACCGGTGTGTACTGAAACTGCAGTAGTGAAATAATTCAGTGTGCATCGGTGTGTACTGAAATTGTAGTAACGAAATATTTTAGTGTCTACCGGTGTGTACCGAAATATTTCAGTGTCTACCACTACAACATTACAAATTTTGCCTAGGGCAGTACCGAAATATTTCAGTGCCTACCGGTGTGTACCGAAATATTTCAGTGTCCACCACTACAACATTACAAATTTTGCCAAGGGCAGTTCCGAAATATTTCAGTGCCTACCGGTGTGTACCGAAATATTTCAGTGTCTACCACTAGAACATTACTAATTTTTCCTAGGGTTCATATGATGCCTAGGGTTCACATACATCATAATCCATCCTCCAAATCCATGTACTCAAATGTTCATGCAATTCATTGAGATTAAAATGCCATCTAGCATTCCCTGTCTGAGCTATTACGATCAGTATCACCACGATGTAAGCACGAGCAGTAGGAAGATGAGGAGTGGGGAAGCTTACTCTAAACATAGCTACCGCCGCCGTTCAGACGAGGAGAGCAGCGAGGGAAGCGTGGAGAACGGCGGGGAAGCAAGGTCGCGACCACTGTCCTCCTCATCTTGCGCTTCGGAGTCTCCGGTGACTCGGTTGGAGGCTGCAAAATCTGCAATGGCACCTCGTGCACGGTGGGTTCCTGATCCAGTGGATGCTCTACCCTGGATCTGAACGCCCACCACCTCCGCCTGGTCCACTCGCTGGACGAATTGGCCTGCTCCATCGCCCAGAGGAGAATCTCGATCTTCTGAATCGGTTGCGCGGGCGGGGGGAAAAGCTTTGCCCTCTCCTTCTTCATCAAATTCTTGAGAGTGGCCATTGCCGTCCAGCTCATCTGCCTCGTGTTGTCAAACCAAGAACGGATCTCCCTCAACCTGGCCAACTTGACCTGGTCGCCGCCGGCGATCTGCACGAAGTCGGTGTTCTCGCCGCCGGCCATCAGCTCGATCTGGCATGGAAGAGGGGGTGGGGGTGGGTGGGGGGGTTGCCTGAGTGGAGCGAAGTTGCAGCGGTAGGAAGGAGGAGATGACCGCGGTGGACTTGGAGGAGAGGGAGGAGATGGCCGCCGATGAGTAATTGTGGAATGTGTAGCACCATGGCGGCGGTTATGCATTCGACGAGAGGGGCGGCGGTTATGCATTCGACGAGAGGGGCGGCGTGTGCAAATTTTCCTAGGACTAAACTGCCCCTAGATTAAAACGCGTCCCCACCTTGTCACGAGTACCGGCCCCACTCATTTTAGTACTTTCGCGTACTTTCATCGGAGTACTACCCAGTACTTCATATTTGTCTGCCGTTAGCAACGAACGGTTCTAAAAAAGCCCAACCACTCTAAAACTTGTAATAACTTTTTTTAGGTGGTTTTTGGAAGTTACCGATATGATTCCCTCTAAAACCGAAATTATCACCCAACTTGGGCCTATGTCCTGCTCTCCTCCGGTGTCAAGGGCGCAACTTAGATTCTGTCAGCCACGGGCATGAACATATCCCACGTCTATGCGCGGAAAGCTGATAGGATTGGCTGATTCCCAATTTTGGCACGCAGCTGCGATAGGAACGGAATCGTTATCATCACCGGTGATCAGGTATTCAAGTCGCTGTCAACGGCGACACATCGTCGTGCTGAATCGTGTTCATGTAACTAGGCAAAAGCCCTTGTTGGCTCTGTCGGCTAGCCAAGCCAAAACGTTGCAAGGAGGAATGGCCGGCCACTAGCTAGCTGCATATGCATGTGTACGCAACTTGCACACGTTAGAACCTTGGGCAGATGCAACAGCCAAGCTGGTCAAAGGCTGGCTCCAGAACTATTGCAGCCTGGCGATTCTGCTAGCTTGCTAGCGCCACTGGTTGAGACAAGGGTGAGCATCTCTTGCCTGCCATGGCCGATGAGATCTGGCTGGGTACAGGGATAAGATATCGGCATATCGCAGCCTTTTGCTGATATATACCAGATGATGCTCACCCTCGTCAGATGAGTGAGAAGAACTCCTTGGGTCGAAACTAAATCTCCCTCCCAGAGCTCTAGCCACCCCCCTTGAGTTATTCAAGTGAGAGTGAATGAGTTACTCAAGTGAAATTGACTGAGTTACATGCCGCCCATGGGGACTTTATATGGTAGAGGTCCTTATAAATTACCAAGGCTACTCATGAGAGTGATATGTGGGGAAGGATATATAGGTCAAGTTTGGTAAGGGCAACTCCAACGCGGATCATCAAAATGGGCCTCACCAAATGTGTGAAGGCCATCCAACTGTAGGCACCAATTGTCCACTCCTAGTTTCTTTTCCATACCTGGAGTACTCAAAATAATCAAATATAAACAACACAATTCGTAAGCAACTGAAAGAGGAATATTCCAATGCAACAATATTTCAAATAAAAATACTCTCTCCGATCCATATTAATTGTCGTTGATTTAGTAGTTGTACTAAATCAGAGAAAATTAATATGGATACAAGGAAGTATACAATCCAAACATAAAGTTTTGAAATAAAAAAAGTTAAAATTTGAATTCAACTTTGTTAGATACGTGTTCTAATTGTCCATGCAAAAACCGCAAAGATGCTCAATCAGATCATTCTCAAGCTTCACATGAGTTCCTTGATTGCGAATTTGATGATGCATTTGGAGAAAATCCTCAAACATCGTCGAATTCTATTCTGGAAGCTGAATAGGATCACCCAAATTTTAAAAATCCAGACCATGGAGAACTCCATAACTCGTATCCTCCACGATCATGTTGTGCATGATCACACCAGCTATCATCACCTCCGAGAATGTCTCTATATCTCATTGTTTAGCGGGTCCACTAACACTGCAAAATTGTGTGAACCGGTCACAATGTTGTCGGTTTGTAGGATTTCGAACATCAGGACTGGTCCAAACAATTTTGGTGATTGCCATTGAATGGAAGAAAATGTCCTCCCGTCCAAACAGTTGCGGGCGATTTAGTGACCCCGTTGGAGTTGCCCTAATCTATGAGGACTAGTAAATATTGGAGGGTTTATAGTCCATGGTGGGCCATCCCTCTAGCTACCCTGATACGCTTTGGCTATCTAGGGCAACTCTTCACTTGGGCCCTTTTGCTCTTCTTTTATTTCAGTCACCCTTGTCTTTTACTTTGTATTTTCCTCTGACTTGTTGAACATGAATGGCATGTTTTTGAATTTTGTTGACTTGTGGACCATGAAGGGCTTGTTTTTGAATTTTGTTGACTTATTTTCTCTTGACCATTTTGCCACATACAACCGGGTGGGACTCAGGTAAATTAGTTATTCCTACAATAGTTCTCAACTAGGGAGGAGCTTACCTCTGGAAACCCTTGCACTTGGAGCAACAAACGGTTGCCTAGCGTGATCCAAGCACAACAACCTGAAGCGGCTCCACCATCATCAAAGGGGATGTTGTAGCGGTTCCACCGAGTGGAAGAGGAACCATTGACTTCAACAGGCAGAAGGGGAGGAGGCGGCCCATGGCCCGGACCTGGTGCCCCAATATCTGCGGGAGCTCCACTATCAACAACAACGATGAACCCATGCGAGGAGATAGCAACCCTAGCATGATATGGTTGCTTTGTAGTAGTGTGATTTGTTCTCAGTTCTGCTCTGCCATTTGATCAATGGGTGCGTGTTCTCCGTCCTTACTCACATAATACTGTTTTAACATATATACTCATGATCCCCACTGCCTCTATTGTGGCACCTCAACGAGATGCTAAGCTGTAAGTGCTCCCTCAAAAAATATGTGATTAAAGCGTGAAACACACCGCAGTTGTTTTGTCTTTGTATTAGTAGTGTGTGTGTGTAACATATTTGGCATTAACATATTTGTCTCTCCATTGATATGGACATTAATATTGTACATTAGAATACATACGAGATAAGTTAAACCCATGTGAGTAAGGAGACAAGTCGATCTCACGTACATACTTATAGACCACTAATATTATGAACATGCATGCATCTGCATAATCGGCCGACTTTTCTGCCCACTAGTCGTGCATGTATACATTGACATGGAGTCATGGACACCATGCACACGCTTATGAGTATTACTGTACAAGGTACCCCCATGCACGCACATGCTTCTTCGTTCAGTCCATCTGTGTAGTGTGTATCATCCCTTGCCCATTACCCGATTACCTCCTAGCTAGATCTTCAAGTGCTTCAACCTGATCACACAAATTACCTGCTTAACTCCAGCTTAAGCCCATGCATAACTATAAGAAACACAGCGATGGAGGTCGTACCTGTCAGCCTCGTAGCTGGCGTTGTGGCCGGGGCCAGGACAAGGGGGACGGTAGGCGGGGAAGGGCACCTTGCCGGCCTCGATACGGGCGATGTCGTGGACGAGCAGCTCGTAGTAGCGCCTGGCGTCGTCCGCCGACTTGCCGCCGCCGACAGCGCGGGCGATGTTGTGCCAGCGGTCGGGCGTGTCCCTATCGTGCACTGCCAACGCCTGCTCGAACAGCTTGTTCTGCATCGGCGTCCATACTGCGCTCATTGACAGGGAAGCCATTGATGTCCCTCAACGATTGGTTCCTCGAACGATAATTAAGCTGCTATATACCTTAACTTATGACCTGAACTACGCTTGGATATTGGCTGCTGGTGAGATGGATGAGGAAGGTGTGAGAAGAGGTTCTACTTATAGCACTCGAGGAGGATTCAGCTTTGTGTGGGGGGGCGGCGAAGATGGATGATAATGTGCATACGAGTGGAGGGGAAAACTAGAGGAATTTTGAAGCAGCAGGCCAGCACGAGAAGGGTGAGGAGGGGGGACGATTGGAGAAAGGAACAAACATTTTTGTCCCCTGGAAGTGGAGGATCTACCTTTCTATCTTTTCGGACCTTTTGCGTCACGAATCGCCTCGGCATCCTTCCTCACCTTCTCCCTCTCAAAGATTGAAACAATAAAAATATGTATGCATCCATACATGCATATACATGTGTGCTCTCATACTTAAAGTTGAGACATATGTATCTCCATATGCAGATACCGAAAGAGGTTTCCCTTCTGTCATTTTGAAAAATATAGTCCATGGTTAGTGAATCCAAGCTTTTTGTTACACCAAATTAAGCAAGTACTATTAGCTTTGAAGTGTGCATGTACATCGATGTTGACTCTTATTTACACCAGAAAATAGCGAAAAACTATTCTTTTTACTAGCCTTGTGGTTCAACCAACTTCCTCCTGGCGTGATGATCTTGATTCTACCACCAACATATTTGCTGCAGTAATGTTGGGTTGTTACTGTCTTGAGTGTACCTTAAAAATCTCCAATGTTCATTATATTTAGAGAGCATAACATCAAAGATAAAGAAAATTAGCTAATTATTACATGTGAAGTAGCTAGCTATATACGTAGTAGTAGTTATTTTAAGAGCATCATGTCGCTATCTATGAATAGTTAGTTACAAAGATTGGGATGCCATCACCGGAAAGTGGGTGCGTGTTGGCCATGCGACCCAGGATATGTCTTGCTTTTCGGATGAGAGAATAATATTAAGAAAAATAGTGCACGACTTTGCATATGGCTTTAAAAATTAAACCAACAAAAAGTATCTGAAAATTGCATGTCTTTAATTGCAATGGATGTGTGACGCGACTCATTTATTCTAAATTGTCCCTCCATTTTGGCAATCCGGGAACGTTAAAAGGCAATCTTTCTTCATTACCTTGTGATTTATGGTCCGAGGTTTTGTATTTATGCATAAGCAAATCATGCAATTATTTTTATTTGAGGAATTAAACCAGTACATTATTCAAAAACCCTGTGCTAATGTTGTCATTTGTCAGTTGAATGGTTTGTATCATATCTTAGATAGGATTATAGCATATCTAACTCAGTTAGTATGTGATCATATTAGATGGGTGAAGCCAATCTTTGGCAAAGTTAATGTGAGAAACTGAGATGCCGAATAGATGCTTACCGTCTCTTATAGATAATGGTCCTTGTTCTAGCAATATTGCTTTTAACTCTTGTATGTAGAATATGGTTCGTTAAAAAATTTGCATTCAATAGTTAACGCATATATAACACTTGACCAAAAAATTACAACTTCAATGCAGGCTAATCTGGAAGAGAATTTTGCAACTCAAGATACAAATGAGTGAAAATGTGCTTGTGTATTTTATGACCTTCAACTGTTGTATGTGAATTTCCAACGAATTTGTATACGAAGAAGATACATGTCATTTTTTAGAACTATGATTGATGTGAGCTATTGATGTTGTTTTGTATGTTCTAAAAAATTTGTGAAATTTGAAATGGAACAATTATGTCTTTTCTATCATATTTTTTCTCCACCCAAATCTTATTTTCTCGACGGCCTTGACGTGACATGGATGCAACATTTTGTTGCTTACCTACCATGGTGTATTTCTTCCGTTCTCGGTTGTTTACCATGAGAAAAATTGGAAAAGCCGACCTGAATATGTTTTTTATCGGACACTGCCGCATAAGTACACTAAAACACGTACACATTGCTCCTCCAATGCCATGGAGTGTGGAAGTCTATGATCCACTTGAAGCGAACTAATGGAACTATAATTTGGTCCTAGAAAAATAATGATATGTGTTCTTTTCAAATCAAATTTGCACCCTACTTCGGCCCTATCTCTCCCCGTCTCCAGGGCGCTAGCCAGATTCTGATAACAATGGCCGACCTAGAACACACACTACTGCAGGATGCTGCTAACACGACACTACGATCGGAGACCCTTCGACGAAACTGTGTGCGATGCCATAATCACAAACGGTAGGGTAAAAAAACATCAAAAAAGGTGCAAAACGTTTGTGATGGAAGATGCATCAAACACGGTTCAGATTTTAGTTGCGTGTGCGATGCAGGGCATACGGTTCAACTTAATTAACTGTTTACAATGAGGAGGAATAAAAGAAACGGGAAGCCAGATGAAGGCGTGTGCGATGTACAACATATGGTTCACTCGGATAAACTGTTTGTGATTAGGCAACACAAAGAAATGGTCAGCCAGATCAAGGTGTATGTAATTGAGGGCATACGCTTCAGAAGGATTAACTGTTTGCGATTAGGCAACAGAACAGAAACGGTTCAGCCAGATCAAAGTGTCTGCAATTGATGGCATACAGTTCACATGGATGAACTGTTTGCGATTAGTCACAAAAAACTGAAACAGTTAGATAGATCAGCGTGTGTGCGCTAGACAGGCACACACATTCTAATTAAAAGAAGCGTGCGCGATGGTAATAACGAGCGCGCACGGTTGTCGGAACAAGACGTGTGCTGACATTGCCTATTGCGGTGCAACCTAGGGTGCAAACGCCACGTACGCGGCCGAGAAGGCGTGCGTGCCCACGTTACGCCTTTCGGGAATAGTGCCACACTTATAATCGTCAGTAAATTTGAAGCATGCGTCCTGTCACAATCCAAATTGCAAACATGTTCACACCGATCAAAACCTAAACGGTTTTCCACTTAGAAGCGTATTACTACTCGGTTATAAATACTACTACTCCAAGATGACTGCACATTCCTCCTCAACTCCTCATCCACAAAAAGTAAAAAAAACAAGTCATTCATCATCGTTCCCTTGCGTCCGCCATGGCCAGCGTGAGTTCTGGGTCGAGAGATTGCCACCAGGGAGAGGCGAGCCTGAAAGCGGAAGCACGAGAGAAAGCAGCCAACATGTCCCGCCACACGGCCGTAGCAGCAGAGAGGTCTCGCCGCGCAGCCGAAGCAGCACGGAGGTCCCGCCGCGCCATTGATGCAGCAGACTGGTCTGGTCGTGCCACGGAAGCAGAAGAGCTGTCCCGCCGTGCCGCGAATGTAGCAGAGATGTTCTCCCGCGCCGCGGCAGCCTAGGAAAATGTCTCGCGGGCAGGAGAGGACTCTTACAGGCGCATGCGTGCCCTCATCTATAGGCAGATGGATCAGATCTCCAGGTGGGCGAGGTTGCAGGATGACCTGAAAGCCTCATTTGAACAGTCTACTAACGTCATCCGGCAACTAAATGAGAGCAATGCGAAGCTCCAGGCCAAGCGCGACCTGCTGAGGGCAAAGATCGTCGAAAGTGCGGAGCAGCAGGAGCAGACCACTGCCTTGTTGAAGAGGACCGACATCATTGTCGAGAAACTTATGGACGAGAAGGCCATGCTGCGCATCGAGCGCAGAAGGTTGGTGGAGGAATCCAGGGATGCTCTCAAGCAGCATCTAGAGGACAAGTAAGAGCTCGTCGCCGCTCACCGCGGAGACTAGTTCCCGCGGCCTGCAGCAACACATCAAGAAAGTAGAGATCAGTGAGCCAGATCGTTGTCTTCCTTCTTTTGCCGTTGTGTATTTCGGGCGTTGCCGCATATGGTTTTTTAAATTATGTTTCTAAATATGTAAGACAATTATTATCCACTGTCACCGTCCTTATATTCATCACGCTTCCTATAAGTCGTAGTCGATGCTATATAGGTCCGTCGGATTTTCCATCAAGATCGGTGCAAAACTTTCTTTTCAGATTTTTATTTTTCTCTCTTAAATCTCAGTCCAGTGAGACATATAGCCACGCCGTAGAATAGGTGCTTGGTCGCCATTAATGGAGACGTTGGAAGGGAGGTGCGCGGCTGGTAGTGGTCAAAGTGTTGTCCTCCCAATGAGCACGCGCAGGGGTCTGACCGCACGCCTCCCATACTCAAATAGCTATCCCTCACGGCACCTCCTAGCCAATAAAAAAAGGACGCGTGGCCGTACGTAATTGGTTAGTAGAACGCCCATGGTTTCAATAATACTTATGTTTCCGATTTGTAACGTGACAGTACTTGTTCTAAAATAACTTTGTTGATTGTTAATGTGTGCGCCTTTGCAAATCGGATAGAAAAATTACCACAGCATGTTGGTGCCATGTCATGACACCATGCCAAGTTTCATGATTTTCAGGCGTGTTTTGGATTTACAGGAATTAAAAAACCAAGTTTCTCAATCTTTCCATCCGAGCCACGACGCCCAGATGTTTGAATTTCACATCGATCTTTTGCATGGGACCTAGAAATTCACCCAAGGACACACATGTGATTTTTCAAACAATTTTGGTGCACTGGAGCCTGTGCTTGTAGTTCAAATTTGAATTATGCACATTAAATGCGCAGAAACTCAATTAATGTATAAAAAGGCCAAATGAACCCGGAGTAATTTCAAAATTTAGCACGGTACTTCTATTTGGTCTAATCTGCCAGTGTAAAAAATTAAGGCGGGAGAAGCCAGTGTACGTATGTCATTTCGCACACGGAGGTGACACGTTCCCTCTCGGAACCACGAGCCTTCTTGAGGGAAGCTCCAGTTTGCAAGAAGCTTACACCAAAGCGTGTCCCAATTCGGCCAAAAAAATTACCGCAGCATGTTGGTGCCATGTCATGACACCATGCCAAGTTTCATGATTTCCAGGCGTGTTTTAGATTTACAGGAATTTAAAAAATCAAGTTTCTCAATCTTTTCGGCCGAGCCACGACACCCAGATGTTTGAATTTCACTCCC